AAAACTGTACGTGGTGGGGTGTACAGGTGATTGATGTAAAACTGTACGTGGTGGGGTGTACAGGTGATTGATGTAAAACTGTACGTGGTGGGGTGTACAGGTGATTGATGTAAAACTGTACGTGGTGGGGTGTACAGGTGATTGATGTAAAACTGTACGTGGTGGGGTGTACAGGTGATTGATGTAAAACTGTACGTGGTGGGGTGTACAGGTGATTGATGTAAAACTGTACGTGGTGGGGTGTACAGGTGATTGATGTAAAACTGTACGTGGTGGGGTGTACAGGTGATTGATGTAAAACTGTACGTGGTGGGGTGTACAGGTGATTGATGTAAAACTGTACGTGGTGGGGTGTACAGGTGATTGATGTAAAACTGTACGTGGTGGGGTGTACAGGTGATTGATGTAAAACTGTACGTGGTGGGGTGTACAGGTGATTGATGTAAAACTGTACGTGGTGGGGTGTACAGGTGATTGATGTAAAACTGTACGTGGTGGGGTGTACAGGTGATTGATGTAAAACTGTACGTGGTGGGGTGTACAGGTGATTGATGTAAAACTGTACGTGGTGGGGTGTACAGGTGATTGATGTAAAACTGTACGTGGTGGGGTGTACAGGTGATTGATGTAAAACTGTACGTGGTGGGGTGTACAGGTGATTGATGTAAAACTGTACGTGGTGGGGTGTACAGGTGATTGATGTAAAACTGTACGTGGTGGGGTGTACAGGTGATTGATGTAAAACTGTACGTGGTGGGGTGTACAGGTGATTGATGTAAAACTGTACGTGGTGGGGTGTACAGGTGATTGATGTAAAACTGTACGTGGTGGGGTGTACAGGTGATTGATGTAAAACTGTACGTGGTGGGGTGTACAGGTGATTGATGTAAAACTGTACGTGGTGGGGTGTACAGGTGATTGATGTAAAACTGTACGTGGTGGGGTGTACAGGTGATTGATGTAAAACTGTACGTGGTGGGGTGTACAGGTGATTGATGTAAAACTGTACGTGGTGGGGTGTACAGGTGATTGATGTAAAACTGTACGTGGTGGGGTGTACAGGTGATTGATGTAAAACTGTACGTGGTGGGGTGTACAGGTGATTGATGTAAAACTGTACGTGGTGGGGTGTACAGGTGATTGATGTAAAACTGTACGTGGTGGGGTGTACAGGTGATTGATGTAAAACTGTACGTGGTGGGGTGTACAGGTGATTGATGTAAAACTGTACGTGGTGGGGTGTACAGGTGATTGATGTAAAACTGTACGTGGTGGGGTGTACAGGTGATTGATGTAAAACTGTACGTGGTGGGGTGTACAGGTGATTGATGTAAAACTGTACGTGGTGGGGTGTACAGGTGATTGATGTAAAACTGTACGTGGTGGGGTGTACAGGTGATTGATGTAAAACTGTACGTGGTGGGGTGTACGGGTGATTGATGTAAAACTGTACGTGGTGGGGTGTACGGGTGATTGATGTAAAACTGTACGTGGTGGGGTGTACGGGTGATTGATGTAAAACTGTACGTGGTGGGGTGTACGGGTGATTGATGTAAAACTGTACGTGGTGGGGTGTACGGGTGATTGATGTAAAACTGTACGTGGTGGGGTGTACGGGTGATTGATGTAAAACTGTACGTGGTGGGGTGTACAGGTGATTGATGACATGTATCACAGCTTCTTGTTTACATATGTATCTTTATAATCTAGTGCTCTTGGTTATAATGTACAGCTACTAAATGTATAAGTCGTTATGTGTACTACATGGATGTAAGTACAACTTGTACTCCATTTACAGCAGTAAATATACCGCTGAGCGTAAAAATTCATGGATTAGAATTGTAGTTTAGTCAGATTTCCTAGCTGAAGATGAGGCATTGTTTATAGATATTAATATATACACTTACCATGTAAATTAACATATACAATATCAGTGTACTGATCTTTGACCTCCAGTTTTACAAACTACAAAGGTCCAAATATATAAGTACTAACGGAAAACATTGTCATGCCCCTCACCCATACTTCTTGGTTGTTGCTGAACAGAGATAGTGAAATTCCTATTGTGGTTTAAACATACGCCCACAAACCATTTCAATATTATGAAACCTTACTCGTCGGAGATGATTTTATAATTTCCCATTTACACATCAAGTTTCACAATTTTGTATACAGCCCTGAAAGTCGGGTTCATATGTTCTGCAGTTAAAATAACCTCAAATTCATATAAATAATTAGTTCCAGGTAACAGTGCTCATATTTTTGTACATACATGTACAGTCATCGCAACGGAACATTTTGATTACACGTTTTATTTGAGGAAGAACATTTCTGTTTGTTACGGAAGTAGCATGTTTTATAAAAAATCGTGATAGAACATATTGTTGTAAGTATTTGTACTTGTTAAAGTAGGCCTAAATACTTAACAAGTAGTTCTATGTAAATCAGTCATACTTGGTAGAATTTTCTTAAGAGTCTATCTGACTGAGTGACATGCATTTAAACTTAAAACACTTAAAAATTGTCACTTTTCTCATGGTTAGTGCCCAGGCCTATGTGATGAGGTCACTGGGAAAAAGATTGTAGACACACCAACAATAGACTGTAAACAAGCTCTCACTACAAAGACTGGTTGGTTAAAAGGTTGAGGAACCAGTTGTATTTCTTGACATGCCACCTGGGATACAAGACAAAGATAATAAAAAAGGTCATAGAGTTAAACAAATGATTCACACAAAAATATTCGCTGGTTAGATGATTAGTCGTTTTATTTTACCCTGAACATAACCTGAAGGTCGGTGATTTGTCGGATGCCCTTTAACAATTTGTCCTTGTCAGTGTATCTATTTTAAAACAGATTATTTTTTTGAATACCTGTTGTTGGAGGGCGATAATATTTAGATATTTTTGATGGCTTTGTAAGAAAAGACACATACTGTCATTAATTTCTAACTTTTATTACAGATGTGATAAATCTATTGATTTGACATTATCATGTGGTTCTAAATATCACACTAACTTGTCTGTAACATTTCTACAGTAGATCAGGCCAAAAATATAGTAACACTCTGTTTTCCTGTTGTCTTAAAAGGTTTTGAGCTTGGAATTTTTGAGACATGTTTAATGATAACAAACAGGAATGTCCCAAATTCTTCATTTTAAAAGTTTGGATTTGATTTATATAAGTAAACAACATTTCATAACATTTTCATTGAATGTAAAGCAAAAATGTTTGATGTAATCTGAATCATGCACAATTTTTTTCCATGTCTGATTTATTTCGTAATGTCAACCTCTAAAAAGTAACGGGTCTGTTGTATTTCTACAGGAGATTATTTGGCACCTTACCTTTCTCATCCATAAGCATTTATTGTAGATCTTCTGTCATTGATGCTTACTATTGAAATGTTAGGTTACAGGAATAGTTTAAATAAAATTAAAGCCATTTTAAATGAAGGTAAACATTTCAAAATTAATTGAAATTTCCATGTGATGATTTTGAATGTGTGATGTGCCTGTAATGCAACCCTTGGGTTTATATGGTAAACAAAAGAAGGCACTAAATAAAGGAAACTGATTCGGGTGTACTTGTGTCACCTTCCTCTTCAAATCCCCCCCTGCTTCGGGGTTATACTGGGGTAGGCCATGGTACTGTAGGACTTAACTGGCAGGTCTTTATCACACAGACCTAATGACATGTTACACTTATTTCACATTAAAAAACAACACATTAGGATAAAATGAATTTATAATCAAAGAACAGAAACAAAATTAATGTAGATTCTTTTAAAACCATAACTGTGAGGTCTCTTCCACAGGGAATAGGTAATATACAGGTATATATGTGACACCACAATAGCGTGCTCATGTGTGTCGGGGGACGACTTTGTACCTGTCCGACCCTGTGGGAGAAGTCAGTGAACATCTCCCACTGGTGTAATATGAGATGTATGTGAATTTACAAGTTTGCAGTATTAGTCATATATATTCAAAAGTATTTAGTGTCCAGGTCTTTTATCTGTGCTTTCAAATGAAGGTTGCGGTGTTATTTTCAAGGGTTCCATTTCATATCTTTGATTAACAGGTGTAAATGCTTGTTTTATGTACCATGTAAGTACCAGTAGGGGATCTTATTATTGGCAAACACCATTTTGTAGGAACTCATTGCATTTTATCCCTCCAACTATTTTTTGTTTGCAATGCTTTAAAATGAAATATAAGGGGTATTTAATCGTGAAAAATGATGAGGACTTTGTGAAAATTGGTCTAAAAATATAACGTGGTTATGTTTGTTTAATCATTATACTCAAATAATTTTGCAAAAATGAATACTGAATCGGGATTGACACCAGTGGTGGTCCTTTGGCCCTAGACTACCAATATATTACAAGGACCACCTTGATCTCTTCAAGTGGTCTGTCGGGCAAAAAAATGCAGTTAAATTCATCTGTCAGTCAATGTATCAATAAAACTAGGGTATGGTACAGTCAGAGGATCCTACGTAATTTACAGCATCACAGGGGAGCAGTGTCTGTTTTCTAAATAACCAAATTACTGTTTTTTCACTGCCGAAGTCCACATCAGTGGATAATAATTTTATGATGACAATCTATAAAATGTAAGAAACAAATAGTTATGTTATTGTTTACTTTCATTAGAACACTTGTAATGTTATTTAATTCTTCATTCTAGTGAATTGTACTGATAATTGAATTAGTTTCTACCACAGTTTTCCTGGTTTATCAACTCCAGTATAATCCAGATTAAAGGGCAGAGGTGTTGCTAATCATAAATTTTGAATAGAGACCAAAGGATGTTAACCTTTGTCTTTGGTTATAAAGCCTCTATAGAGATGTCTGGAAATGAAAGTAATTGACCATCAAATTTTCACTGTTCAACTTTTAAAACTATTTTTGCACTTAAATGAATAAAATTTAGGTAAGGGGTTAAGACAGTAATTTCTGCAGAAGATTTGAAAGAACCTATTTCCATTGTTACAGAGGACTCCTATCAGCAGCAGGCGAGAATCGATGGGGAACCAGCCAAGCTGGACATCCTGGACACAGCCGGTCAGGTGAGACCACAACCACCTAGTACCTAATCTATAATATCAGTGGAATCACCAGTCCTTTAGAGCTATAGAAATCTTTACATCTCTTTGTAATCCCATAAGGGAACAATATTTGAATGATTCAATGTTGGTCCAGTTTTATTACTGACTTTTGAAACAAAACTTTTGTAGATTGATATTGACATGATCGATTAATCCTTAATGCAGGTTCATGGGAGAGGGTTTAAGATGCATGTTTAAGTACAGGTTCCATGGGAGAGGGGTTAAGATAGTGAAGTTGAGATACAGGTTCATGGGAGAGGGGTTAAGATAGTGAAGTTGAAATGCAGGTTCATGGGAGAGGGTTTAAGAGAGTGAAGTTGAAATGCAGGTTCACGGGAGAGGGGTTAAGAGAGTGAAGTTGAAATGTAGGGTCATGGGAGAGGGGTTAAGATAGTGAAGTTGAGATACAGGTTCATGGGAGAGGGGTTAAGATAGTGAAGTTGAAATGCAGGTTCATGGGAGAGGGGTTAAGATACATGTTCAAGTACAGGTTCAGATAGTGAAGTTGAGATACAGGATCAGGGGAAAGGAGTTCAGACAAGGTTAAGGAGTTGCTTATTCATGTATACATGAATGACTTAATGAAGCATGCAATTTCTGCTGTGTTTTCAAACTCAATTTTCAGAGTTACAATTTAACCCAAATACTCACTGTACCAGTTAACTTTCTGGCTTTTAGCCAAAGGATTTCACCATTAAAATAATTAAAACTATTAACTGTGAAAGAATATACACATAATTTAATACAGCAATGTTAATGAAGTTAATTGCCTGCCAGCAATGAGCTGTGATGATGATGACCTATAATTTCTGTCTATCAGCCTGAGTTCAATGCTATGAGGGAGCAGTACATGAGGAAAGGAGAGGGCTTCATCATCTGTTACTCCATCACTGACCGTCGTAGCTTTGACGAGGTCCTCACCTACAAAAAACTCATCAACCGAGTACGGTGTAGGGAGGATATACCCATCGTCATCGCCGGCAACAAGTGTGACCTCGAGGAGAAGAGAAAGGTAGGACCAATGGTGATTCATTTGTACTTGTACAATATATAACCAAACTTGTTATACTGCTAGGCAGGTCGTATGTTTCTTAATATATGCAGAGTTTTTACATATTTATAAAACATATTATAGTACATATATTGTTATTTGCACTGTACAGGTGTCGGTGGAAGAGGGTATGGCGTTAGCAAGGCAGCTAGAATGTCCATTCTTTGAGACTTCAGCCGTGCTGAGGAAATGTGTCGACGATGTGTTCCACAAACTTGTGCAGGAGATTCGAAGAAAAGAACTTGATGCTTGGGAACTTGAAAACAAATCAACACGCAAACTAAAAGGGTTTCGTCGTCTCGGCGCTGTACTTGGTCGTCTTAATGTGTTCAAAAAAGGGTCGCGGTCACATAACACCTGAGGTTTTGACCAGGAATTGCCTTCAACGTCCGTCCTCACAAGAAAGGTTGGGTGTCTACGCAGAGAGTGCCATTGTTCTAACACATAGGACAACATCTGTCACATCATTGTGTAAACATGGATTTGACTTGATAATGCTTTAATAATGTATCAGTCATCTGTTGTCAGAGTAGAATTTAGTTTCTATTTTCTGAGACTTGTAGGCGTGATGTAAATATTTGTGTGAAGTTCTAGTCCGTATAAAGACTCTGAGCGGATCGTTTGTTACATTCCTTAACTTAAGAAAATTCCTTAAGTTATCATTTTCAGTAGGGGAGCATTATTGTAGTTAAGAATAAGTAATTTCACTCACGATTTCCCCTTTACTCCAATAACGCTTTCCTATGGGAAATGTACGGAATTTCCTTCAGTTAAGAATCTTTTGTGAAACAGTTGTAGATTTGGGGTGAATACTGATTTGTTGTGAAACACAGTTTGTGTCTGTGTGTAACACACATAACTTTCTATTATACAATCAAGACGCATTATTAAGACTAGCAAATTGGAGGGGGGGGGGGGGGGGGGGGGGGGAGGATTAAATGTTGAGTAATATTCTTATTAAAACTGTGTAATGAATGACAGTTACGACACAGTGGGAAAAAAAGACCTAGAATTACTATTGTTATACATGAGCTCTAGTTACACCAAGGTTCATAGTTAGCAGAGGATGCCAGCACATCCTGTAATGAAATGTTTAGATGACGCAGGCACTCGCCCTGAGAAAGCATCGACATGTTACAAAACTACCTATATCCTGTCCAGTTACTATCATAGGGGCTTTGTTCGTGCTTTAATGATAATATGAATGTAAAACTACCTATATCCTGTCTAGTAACTGTCATAGGGGCTTTGTTAGTGCTTCAATGATAACATGAATGTATGGGTGAGGATGATTATCAAACAAACGTTTTAATCTCCTATACACATGTTTTCACATTTGTGAGTGAATAAATCGTTTTGCCATAAAAGAAAGTGCACAGTATTCCAACTATGCAATAACTAATATTTTTTCTTTAATATCCTTTTTTCTGACATAGTTTTCTCAGAGACAGCTTTCCAAAGTTAGGTAACCTTTACTTACTTACAGTAGAAACACTTGGTGATTTAGAGTGGCCTAGAATTCGGTAACCTTTACTTTAAGTAGAAACACTTGGTGATTTAGAGTGGCCTAGAGTTTGGTAACCTTTATTTTTAGTAGAAATACTTGGTGATTAAAAGTGGCCTAGAATGACTGTCCAAACTTCGGTAACCTTAACTTTAAGTAGAAAAACTTGGTGATTTAGAGTGGCCTAGAATTACTCTCCAAAGTTCGGAAACCTTAACTAAGTAGAAATACTTGGTGATTTAGAGTGGCCTAGATTTACTCTCCAAAGTTTGGTAACCTTAACTAAGTTAGAAATACTTGGTGATTAAGAGTGGCCTAGAATTCGGTAACCTTTATTTTAAGTAGAAATACTTGGTGATTAAGAGTGGCCTAGAATTACTCTCCAAAGTTTGGTAACCTTTACTTTAAGTAGAAATACTTGGTGATTTAGAGTGGCCTAGAATTACTCTCCAAAGTTCGGTAACCTTAACTAAGTAGAAAAACTTGGTGATTTAAAGTGGTCTAGAATTACTCTCCAAAGTTAATAATACAGTGTAGTTTTAATCAACAGCTTAATTTTTTCACCATTTCTGCCTTAACCATTTGTTGTCAGTTGTTTTATTTTTTGTGTGCTGAAACTTCATTTTTTGTTTCTGTGAAAACGATCATATTCGGTTTTTACTGTTATTGGTGTCAAAATTTTATAAGTGGCAACACTTCAGTAACATGCCTATTTATCACAGCGATTAATAAACTCCACTCTTTAAGCTCCAATTTCATACTCGTCTCATTCTCAAGCTCAGTTTGAGCTCAAGTGTCTTATTTGCCATATAAACATAATGTAACTGAAATCTCAGCTTGAGATAGACACAAACGGTTTGTGTTGGTAGAGCATGTAGTTGTAAGGTGGTGGCTTTCATATAGAGTGCTGCAGTGCTCCCAACAGTGCTAGCTGAATCCCTAAACTGGCTGAAGAGCTTTAACTTATCATTTGTTGATCAAGAACACTAATAAATAAGGAGATTTAATTACCCTTATAAAAAGCTTTACCGATTCAATTGGCTTTAGAAGCAAAATGCTTTTTATTTGGCACCAAAGACTGTTTGTGATATTCTGTGCGAAGATGTCCATTTCTCACTATAGACTTGGTCAGGATACATGATTCCAGCTCACGGTCATGTATGACGATACTTTCCTAGCCATTTTCATACCTAGCCATTTTCATATTCGGTTGTTATTTCAATTTCTATGGTTATGTCTTTCATGTGTCAGCAAAATTGACCTCTTCTAACTTTTTCCAGGTTGATTTTAGCAATTCTAGATTATAGTTTAACCACGGAATGAGGTTAGATTAGGTTATCTAAGTCCGTGGTTTAACAATGAACTTCTCCATTGGTCCCATTTCATTCAAGTTTGATTCAACTCATTACAAAATTTTTTCTCATGGAAAACATGCAAGTTTTAACAAATCTTTTATTGGAAAGAATGGATTTCAAAGGTATTTAATGAATAGAATGTGCAATAATAAGAAAAGAACTCATGATTGGTCAAAGGGAGATAATAGGTATCTCCAGATTTAGTGCTATGAATATTGTATTCTATTGACGCATCATATTGAGTTATTTTGTATTAAGTTATATACCTTTGGATGTAAAGGTATATTTTGTATTAAGTTATCTACCTTTGGATTAAAAGGTATATTTTGTATTAAGTTATCTACCTTTGGATTAATAGGTATATTTTGTATTAAGTTATCTACCTTTGGATTAAAAGGTATATTTTGTATTAAGTTATCTACCTTTGGATTAAAAGGGATATTTTGTATTAAGTTATCTACCTTCGGATTAAAGGTATATTATCTACCTTCAAATTAAAAGGTATATTATCTACCTTCGGATTAAAAGGTATATTATCTACCTTCGAATTAAAAGGTATATTATCTACCTTCGGATTAAAAGGTATATTATCTACCTTCGAATTAAAAGGTATATTATCTACCTTCGGATTAAAAGGTATATTATCTACCTTCGAATTAAAAGGTATATTATCTACCTTCGGATTAAAAGGTATATTATCTACCTTCGAATTAAAAGGTATATTATCTACCTTCGGATTAAAAGGTATATTATCTACCTTTGAATTAAAAGGTATATTTTGTTTCGAGTTACCTACCTTTGGATGATAAGGTGGTAGAAATACCTGGAGATATGTATGACCATATTGTGATTTTGAAGAACTACTCAGATTTGATATTTCGGTGTTAGGGGTATCCAACTTATACAGAGAGACAGCCAATTCAAGTTTATGGGCTATTTGACTCATTAGAGATCTAGGTAAACCTAGCCGACTATATTTAGAAACGTATATTTGTTTACCCATATATTTTAAACTATTTATATTTATGATTCTTTGAGACACTGTCTGGGAGTTTTGGAGATTGTTATCTTTGAAATTTCGTTTCCTTTATGGTTTGTTTATTTGTTTGTTACAATATATTTATTTTTAGACATGTTTTCTTCAAGACATTAAAAGGACAATTGTTCAAAAACTTCCACTTTTAAGAAACAAATTTTTAGCAAGGATCTATACTCAAGTTTTAATATGAGGGAAAAATATTTTTAGATTGTACATAATTTGAAAGAATGCTTTTAGTACTTAGATGGACCCAATTTTATTTAGTGCAGAAATGTGCCTGTGCAATTATTCAGAGCAAATAAATGTGTTTTGATAGAAAATCTTTACAAACTGATTTAGTATGTCCTTTTTTGTTGCTAGCATCAATACTAGACAAAAATGTTTGTAATATATATTTCAAACACGAGTGTGTAAAAAGTGTTTCTGTGTAGCTTTTACCTAATAGGGGTTTAAGGGTAGCTTGACACATGGTTTGGCCGACACTTGGAAAGCACTGTATATGGAGTAGATATAGAAACACCAGATAAAACTTCCCTGCTTCTTGTGCTTCACTGTCTGGATTGATTATTTTGCTTGTCTGTTGAACTTATTATCTGGTAGCTGCAGTGCCAGGATATATATAGAATTTGGATTCTAAGTATATTATTATTTTCTTTCAATTTTTCTGTGCAATAATCCATTTCTATCATTCATTTATTTATAGGTTACATTAAGTTATTACGAAATAAAATTTAGAATATATGTTTGTTTGTTGTTTTATATGGTGAAGAAGAAAGACATGGAAAGGAGGCTGAATATCTCTACTTGAAAATAGAATAAATCCCTGTGATCTAGACCATCTCAATAAGATTGAATATCCGCAAAACCACAGATCCCTGTGATTGTGTCCCTCTCATAAAGGTTGAATATCAGCAAAACCACAGACCACTGTGATTGTGTCCATCTCTTAAAGGTTGAATATCACCAAAACCACAGACCACTGTGATTGTGTCCATCTAATAAAGGTTGAATATCAGCAAACCCACAGACCCCTGTGATTGTGTGCATCTCATAAAGGTTGAATATCAGCAAAACCACAGACCACTGTGATTGTGTCCATCTAATAAAGGTTGAATATCAGCAAACCCACAGACCCCTGTGATTGTGTCGATCTCATAAAGGTTGAATATCAGCAAAACCACAGCCCCCTGTGATTGTGTCCATCTAATAAAGGTTGAATATCAGCAAAACCACAGACCCCTGGGATTGTGTCCATCTCATAAAGGTTGAATATCACCAAAACCACAGACCCGAGATTATTGTCGCTGCTTTGATTTATTTATTTTTTCAGATTTATCGCACTCGTTGTTGGTCAAAACGAAAGTTTTGTTTGCCTGAAGCTGTTTTACTGCTCACACTTTTGTATGAGATTTCCTGCAAATCTGTTGGTAGATGATAAATGTTGCTTTCAAGTGTTAGCATACAATACCCATGGTAACTGACCATAATCTTATCGACCTCAAATGCAAAATTGTTATAGTCAATGTCAATCGGAATTGATACAACAGAATATCAAACTATTTCATCTTTATTTACAGACAGAACCTTAGATCACTGCCAACTTGGAAGAGAGTGACTTCTAGGCATCATCTATGCAGCTAATAAATGGATACAAGCTTACCTACCCTTGAGATGGCTTTTCTATCATTTTAAATCTTTCAAATCTTATTTAAAGTGTCATTACTGTATAGTGGTTACATTTCGCAGGGTTTTAATTTCGCTTTATTCACACTTTGACTAATATTCACGAATTCTAAACACCAGTGAAATTATAGAAAATGTTAACCACTTAAAATACTTAACCCAACCACTACACATCCCTGACCCAATGCTGTTATGCAAGCTTAAATGAACTCAAATCATATTATCACTGGACAACTGGGCAGTCCATGTAAACAACACTTAAATATAAGTGGCCACAACATATTTATGTGTACACAGTAGGTGATTAATTGATAACAGTTTATGGTTTAACCCCTAAATGAATGACACATTGGATTCGGGTGCTCGGCAAATTTAAAGCGCCATACAGTATATTAAACATTAATGAAAAAAAAGTAAAGCGGGGCAAAATAATGCTGCCCGTCTAATGCCAAAGGACACAAAAGTTTCATTGGAATCGGATTTAAAATATATTTAATAGAATGATGACAAGGAAATACCAAGTGATTAATCTGTTTTTAACAAGTGACAACTATCAACTTTTAAACTTGTCAAATCTATCTTTAATACCTATAGAAATTTTCCATGGAATCAGATTAAAAATGGAGGTTGTACAACAATAAGGAAAAGTTAATGGATGGACATATGCCTAATGGTATACCTTATTAATAATATCACCCATTGTATGATGGACATACAAGAAACCAATTAAAACAAGCAAACTAGTGGAATTTATATCCCCCGCTTGCAGGACATATTGTAGGTCAACATTATTGAGGTTAGGTTTAAACATGTGAGTATCGTTCTGTTGAGACATAATGTAAAGCTTGAAACTTGAAGGAAAACAAGAGGGCCTGTATTACTCGCCTGAATATTTAAGCAGTCATAGCAAATATTCTCATTAAATATTATGTTGCATTAAAAATATTTCCCTCGCAAACTTTGTTGGCTCAATCTGTTGAAACTACCAGCAAAATATTATTATAAGATTCTATGTTTTTGATTCTTCTTCAGAAGTTGCTTGACATATTTTCCCCTGTGACCTTTTAGGTAGGTCAATGTCATTTTCCTTCTCAAATTGGTTAGCTCTATTCCAAAATGCTACCAGCCAAATCTTATGAGTCAAATCCTTTCAGTTCTCGAGAACAAATCCTTTAGAATGTTGTTGACCTCTGTGACCTCTAAAGTAGGTTGAGGTCATTTTCATTCCCAAACTTTGGTGAGCTCTATCCCAGGGAGTCACCAGCCAAGTATTATAATTATATGAATTTTAATTCTTCAGAAGTAGTTTGAACCGTTTGACATATTTGAACGCTGTGACCTTGAAAGTAAGTCAAGATCATTTTCATTCGCAAACTTTGTTTGGCTCTTTCCCAGGAAATAACCAGCCAAATATTAAGGTTCTAAACCATTNATTTAGGTTCTATAACTTTCAGTTCTTCAGAAGAAGTTGTTCTAAGCATTAGACATATCCAACTCCTGTGACCTTGAAAGTAGTTCAAGGTCATTTTCATTCGCAAACTTTGTTGGGCTCTTTCCTCCAACAGCTACAAGCCAAATATTTAGGTTCTATAACTTTCAGTTCTTTAGAAGAACTCGTTTGAAGCATTTGACATATTTGAACCCTGTGACCTTGAAAGCAGGTCAAACTAATTTTCATTCTCCAACTTTATTCGGCTCTATCCCAGGAAGCCACCAGCCAAATAGAAAGATTCTAAATTTTTGAGTTCTTCAAAAGAGTCATTTGACACATTTGACCCCTGCGACCTTGAAAGTAGGTCAAGGTCATTTTAATTCTCAAACATTGTTGGGCTCCATAAGCCAAATATGAAGATTCTATAGCTTTCAGTTCTTCAGAAGTCGTTTGAAGTTTTTGACATATTTGACCCCTGTGACCTTGTAAGAAGATCAAGGTAATTTTCGTTTTCAAACTTTGTCAGGCTCCTACCAACAAAGCTTTCAGTCAAATATCATGACTCTAGGCCTGTCCGTTCTTCAGAAGAAGTTGTTTAAAGGAAAAGTTGACAGACAGACGACGGACGCCACACCCTTCGGGCAGGTGAGCTAAAAGACACTTCTGGCATTTAACTACTTCTAAACCAAAGTTTACATTGTAATTCAAGGGAAAATATATCAATTTGATATTACAAAATATTTTAGTCATTCATATGAACAAACTTGGTATCCCTTTATCCCAGCATGCTACTGGCCATATATCATCACCCTATGTCTGTTGGTTTTTGAGAAAAAGTTGAAGATTTTAACACAATTGACCTTGAAAGTCGGTCAACATCATTTTTATTCGCAAACTTTGTTTGGCTAATTCCAAGGAAGCCACCAGCCAATTATGATGTCACAAGGCGTTTGGGTATTTCAGAAATCGTTTGAAAGTTTTGACATATTTGACCCCTGTGACCTTGACTGTAGGTCGAGCCATTTTTATTCACAAACTTTGTTCGGCTTATTCCATGGAAGCTACGTACCAATTGTCATGTCTCTAAACCATTCGGTATTTCAGAAGTAGTTGTTTGAAGTTTTTTTTTTTTTCCATATTTGACCTTCAAAGTAGGTCAAGGTCATTCATATGAACAAACTTGGTACCCCTTTATCCCAGCATGCTTTTGGCCATATATCTGTTCGTTATTGAGAAAAAGTTGTTTAAAGATTTTAACACATTTGACCCCTGTTTGGCTAATTCTAAGGAAGCCACCAGTTAAATACAATGTCACTAGGCATTTCAGTTTTTCAGAAGAAGTTGTTTGAAGGTTTTGAGATATTTGATCTCTATGACCTTTAAAGGAGGTCAAGGTCATTTTTATTCACAAACTTTGTTTGGTTTAACCAAGGAAGCTACCAGGTTATTCTCATATCTCTAGGCTTTTCTGTATTTTAGAAGATAAGTTGTTCGAAAATTTTGACATATTTCACCCCTGTGACCTTGAAAGTAGGTCAAGACCATTTTTATTCGCAAACTTTGTTCAGCTATTCGATGGAAGCTACCTACCAATTGTCATGTCTCTAAACCTTTCGGTATTTCAGATGTTGTTTGAAGGTTAACAAATTTGACCCCTGTGACCTTGAAAGTAGGTCAAATACTGTTTTTTTCCGCAAACTTTGTGTCGGGCTCCATATAATGAAGCTTCCAGCCAAATATCATGACTCTATGCCTTCTGGTTCTTCAGAAGAAGGTTTAAAGGAAAGTTGCCGGACGCCGGGCCATGGCATAAGCTCAGCTGCCCTTTGGGTAGTTGAGCTAAAAACCACCACCCGTAAATATGCACAAATCACATCGGTTGGCAAACTTAGCATGAGTCGGATGTGCATACGGAATTCGGTTGAAACATCTGAACAATATCTACAGCAACTATCACACAAAAACCAGAGTGCTAGAGATGGGTGGTAAGACAGGAACACAAACATTGTTATCAAGTTTGAAGGAATTTTGCTAATATTTGCAAGATTTATTACCGATAAGCAGAAACTGCAGATAATGACAATTGTAGGAATCGCTAATATTTGCTCGAGTTATTACTGGTAAGCAGAAACTGCAGAAAATTCGACGTATTTCGTTAATCAAGGGGCCATAACTCTGCCAAATGCAGTCTGTTAAAATTTGACATCGGACTTGGCCGAGCCCTTAAGACATTTAACCATGTGACCAAGTTTGAAGAAAATCGGTTAACATTTGTTGTAGTTGTTGCACAGAAACGAAGCGCGGCAGCTAATGACGTTTTTCTTATTCAAGGGGACATTACTCCGCCAAATGGGTTCGCTGAAAGTGGTCATCGAATTTGGCCAAACCCTTAAGGCAATTAACCCCGAGACCAAGTTTGAAGAAAATCAGTTAATATTTGTTGTAGTTATTGCACGGAAACAAAGCGTGACAGACAGACAGACAAACAAACCTAATTTAATATCCCTGCTTTCACCACCTAAATTAATCAAACTAATGTGGATTCATTTTAGAAATACTGCATCAGCTAATATCAAATTCAAAATAGGAAAGTCACCATAAAACTTTTGAAATTAGATTCAAAATGTGTAATATTTGTATAACTTGGTACAGTTCAACTTCATATCTAGTCTTGGAAAGCCGTCTTTACTTTTCAAACCTTCAAGCAAAGGATCCAAATTTCTTGCCAAATTTTAATCAACAAACCAACATATAATATGAAAAATAAACAAGCAAGGGTTGTCAATATTTGTTTTAATTCAATCATTCAACAGATTCTAGTCAAATATCAAGATTCACAGTTGGATTCAAGATTCATAAGAAAATGTTTTCAATGAAACACTAGCACATTTGAAATATAGAAATATCACTTCTACATTTTTAACAGCATTTTACCTGGTTTTCTACTGTTAAATCTTTGTTTACAAACACACACACCGCTAACAACCTCGCCGTCACATAAATACTTTGTTGTTTTCACATCGTCATATTTATAATGTTTCGCATTAAAAAACAAAACCATCTGCACTTTTCTTGTGATTTAAATGAGTTTCTAACAGTCCTTGAAATCACATCAAGCTTCAAAGCCAGCAAGGAAGTCTATTACCACTTGTTTCAATGTGGCATCCGTTTCTTCAGAAATCTGTCCCTCCTTCGCGATTTTCTGCAACAGAGTCTGCTGTGAAGACTGGATGTGTGTCAGGAACTGCTTCTCAAATGATGTAATTTTAGAAGGGTCAAGTTTATCTAGATATCCCTTGACACCAGCATAGATGATTGACACTTGTTCCTCAATAGCCATGGGAACTGAAACATGATTAAACAGGTCATAGCACGGTCACAGGAAATTAAACTTACATGATCACTGTATTTTTTCTTTTTGTATATAAATACAATATAATGTTAACATCCTATTAAAATGTGTCTACAATTGTTATTTCTTTTCAGTTTATTTTACATACATGCATATGATAAGTAATACGAAAAGATAAACAAATCTATACAACTCCTTTAAGACCCCATCAAGAGGCCGCACAGATGTTGGCCCCCAGTGCCAAGTCAAACCTGCACTACAAGCTTGACAGGTTTTAATCACCAAACATTGGAGACCTCCTGCTAAACAAGGAGTGATGTTGTTTCCACTATATTTATTTATACAAACAATATTATAGAGTGTGGGCTTTTTTAGGGAATGTGATTTGTTTTTAATTAATCCCCAGTAGTGTTGCATAAAGGTATTTAATAAGAAATATCATGACTAGCGACACAGTGCTTTTGCGTTATAATTAAGTGGTTTGGGATCAAATCCTCAATCTCATAACAGGTCCTCTATGTTTTTGTGAAAAAGGAAATCATGAGTAATGTGTTTCTCTGTATATTACTCTTTACCACAGTTAATGCATCACTCGGTTGGAAAAAGGCTAAAAAATTGGAATCTTCATTAGAGATACAAAACAGAGTACTGGGACACAATTTTTAATACAAGATTTCTGAAATACTGACCATACTGTCCTTGTTTCAAAAGCTCTGTGAGACGGACACCTCGGTTGAGGAGGTTCTGGGTGGCCTGATCCAAATCAGATCCGAACTGGGCAAAGGCAGCTACTTCTCTGTACTGGGCCAACTCCAGCTTCATGGAGCCAGCAACCTACCATACACAGAAACACAATTAAGACCAATAAATGCATTTTGAGCCCTACCACTGATTTTTTTTTAAATTTTACGACACAAATAAAATTCAGCATTTAGAACACAATGATACTCATTCACTTGTAATAACCTTAACACTAAATATTTATCTGATTGTGTTTACCTGTTTCATGGCCTTGGTCTGAGCAGCAGCTCCTACACGACTGACAGACAGACCAACGTTAATGGCAGGGCGGATACCCTTGAAGAAAAGTTCAGTCTCCAAGAAGATCTGTCCATCGGTGATAGAGATCACATTGGTTGGGATGTAAGCAGACACATCACCAGCTTGTGTCTCAATGACGGGGAGAGCGGTGAGGGAGCCACCACCATGGGCGTCGTTCATCTTGGCTGCTCTCTCCAACAGACGGGAGTGGAGGTAGAATACATCACCAGGGTAGGCCTCACGACCTGGGGGACGACGCAGCAACAGGGACATCTGACGGTAAGCCACAGCCTGAACACACAAACAGAAAGGGTGAGCAAACAGCCATCTCAGCCTTTATACAACAGGCTGTGGGTATTTTAGTTGCAAACTACAGCCTTCAATGGTATTAAATAGTAAAACATGCAATTCCGACAGCATACAGTTGATCAGACGCTTGCCTATTGAACATATCGACTCTTAATTTAAAAATGTTTTCATACTTTAATCAAATATGACTGTTTAATGGCAGTGAAAATGTAGGCACCTGTTTCGACAGATCATCATAGATGATGAGTGCATGTTTGCTGTTGTCCCTGAAGAACTCTCCCATGGCACATCCTGAGTAGGGAGCTAGGTACTGAAGCGGAGCAGCATCTGAAGCAGTGGCACTGACGATGATGGTGTACTTCATGACATCTGAAAGAATGCAAATATATCATAAACTTTCTGAATTATCTCTGTACTCAAAACATGGCCTTAAAAAAACACGATCTTAGAGATGAACTTCATGTACATGTAAAAAAAAAACACCAAAAAAACCCCACCTGGCTAGTATTTTGTTATCTGTATCATATGTCACCATTCTACTACCCCTGATAATTATAAAGCTTTGAAAAAAATACAAAACATGCACTAGTGGAAAAGCGTATACCTTACTTCGTTTTAAATGTACCACGTTGCACATCTTACTACCAACCAATTCTCCAATAATTAATCAATTATATTTGTAAATTTCTAAATCCAAACTGAACACTTCAGTTTTCTTCAGAAGAGTTAAGTTGCTAAGTGACTACTTTTTTCTTAAATAGTAGATTGACTTAGACCTCCCTCAGCCATATCACCATGATGTTTGATTAATTTTCATATTTAACAAAGATGAGACCAGACCAAAATTTGTTCTGATGTGAAGTGGTTATAGCGAAAACAAAGATCATCTATGAATAGCAGTAATTGGTTACCTTGACTCTGCGCCCTGAATTTTTATATAAATCTTTACTTTTTAGTTTTATACTGCTCTTGAATTGCTACGAAACATTTATTAGACAATTCAACAGAAATTTCAGAGTTTTTAATTATTACCAGCATCTGAAAGCCTCTTCACAATCTGGGCGACAGTTGACCTCTTCTGGCCAATAGCAACATAGATACAGTACAGCTTAGCCGTCTCGTCAGTTCCTTCGTTAAACCTCTTCTGGTTGATGATGGCATCAATGGCAACAGCAGTTTTACTACAAAATTATTCACATAAATATAATTATGATGTTGCTCAACCTTCACAAAAAAATGCTTTTTTTTTTGAAGGTGTTAAATAAATTCAGTACAGAAATCTAATCAATTTGGCAATCAATGGTTATTATATCTTTTCTCCTTCAGAAAAACAAAACTTTTTATAAGCTAGCTCATTATACTTTTGCCTTTACAGGGGACAGTATACATATTTTCACAAAAACTGTATAGGAGATGGACTTAATATACCTACCCAGTCTGTCTGTCTCCAATGATCAACTCACGCTGACCTCGGCCAATAGGTACAAGACTGTCCACAGCTTTGATACCAGTCTGCATAGGCTCCTTCACAGAGATACGTGGAATAATTCCAGGAGCCTTTGTTCCAACACGAGCCCTCAATTTGGAGGTGATGGCACCCTATAAAAAATATGTTTTACATTAACAATTTTTAAAAGCGATTAATGAACCAGGTTTTTTTCTAGACCCTTCTCTATCCAAACACCCATCCCCTTCTTGAATTAAAGTTCCATATCAACAACAACAAATCCAAGATTTAGCTCTAAATAAATTAGTAAATGAGTATGGTATTACTCCAAGTTTACAGCTTACATATTTAATAAGATTTATCTATTCACCCCCCTCTCAAAATTTATCTATTCATCCCTCTCAGAAAAAGTTCCAAATTATCTTTTTCATATTTGAATGTATTTCCTCTGGGTATTATCATTTCTTATTTAATTTGTAGGTTGTATATTATGGAAAATATGATTCATTAATTGTATATGGTATAATATTGGTCACTGAACAGGTCCAGTACACTCTGCCGATTGAGCTATTTAGCTGTAAAGACATATAATAACTCTATTGACCTATCTGAAATAGATCTTTTGAGCTATTTACATGTGATTTTCTTTTTGAAAGAAAACGAAACAAAGTCCCTTTTAAAAGAAGATTTTATCATTAGGTTGATAGCAAAAGACATTAAATATAAGTTGTTTTTAAAAATTAATGATGTAAAAAAATTTGACAATACAATAAACCTTATTGTTTTGTGCGACTTTGCTTTGATTTAATGAAAATCGAAATCTGAGAAATCATAGCTCAATACAGGTGAATATAGCTATATAGGTCTTTATAGCCATTAATTTGGCAAGGTGTGCTGGACCTGCTGAAGATGATACATTCCATTCACAATTTGAATATTTCTCTCGTTTTGCATGGACCTGCTGAAGATGATACATTCCATTCACAATTTGAATATTTCTCTCGTTTTGCAGAGTCTACCAAAAGGTCCCCTGAATAATACCTTTCCATCAATGGGGTTTCCCAAAGCATCCACTACTCTTCCTAGTAGCTCCTCCCCAACAGGGACATCAACGATGGCACCAGTTCTCTTCACTACATCACCTTGCCTGATGAGTTTATCGTTACCAAACACTACCACACCAACATTGTCACGCTCCAAATTCAAGGCCATACCCTAGGAAGTCAACACATCATATTACAAGCAGCTTAACTACTTACAAGTAATCTTTTGGGCACAGAAAACCGAGTCATGGACTTATTTTTTCAATTGGACTTGCCAAAATTTTGATACCAAAATCATATGATTAGCCTCTGTATGTAGGAACAAGGTTTTCTTTCAGTGATCAGCCAAATTCATTTTTTGAACATTTTCAGGATAAGTGATTGTAAATTATTTTGCTCCCATTATTTTTCTCTCTATATATCTTCACTTTTAAATCCTTTTCAAAACTTCAATGACTATTTCTCATCATAAGCAGACAACATTTATCATAGCCCAGATATAATACTATGAATTTCATACCATGTATCTGTTACCACACTTTACACTTTTGTGTAAAGAAACAACGCCAGTACATAATAGAAACAATTCCAGTACAATTTTCATTTTAGAGTGTTTGTGAAACATTTTCATTTTAGAGTGTTTGTGAAACAATGATTAGGAAGAATGTATTGATGGTCGATAATTACTTTCAGACCACTGGAAAACTCCACCATTTCATCTGCCTGAATGTTTCTAAGCCCAAAGACACGAGCGATACCATCTCCAATGGACAACACTCTTCCTGTTTCTTCAATATTTGATTGTGATTCGGAAACACCAAGTATTTTTTCTTCCAGAATAGATGAAACTTCCCCACCTAGAAACAATAAAGTCAAATTCAAATTGAATGTCATAATTAAAGTAACTAGTCTATATTTTACAACTTAATTTACATAATGAAATATGCTGAAATTAAACTAAAAAGAATGATTTGACAATACAATGACAATATTCATGTATAGACAATGAATATGCAGATTTTCATAATTATCTGATCAAGAAGACAGCAAATGATATTTTAGTCATTTATACTAATCAAAAATTGGATTTCTGAATAATCAGTAAAAGGAAAATTGGACACAGAACTATAATTTCAGAGTGTCTGAAATGCAGTGGATTTCACAGAAAACGCAAATGAACAGTACTATTTCTTACCGGCTACTTTTGATACAGGAGATGTTGTAAATTTCTTTGCTGCAACCATACCAGCTCCCAAGGCATGTCGACATACCTATCCAAAACACAATATACTAATTATTGTTTGGATGTGATCAATGGCAATAAAATAAGTTGTTTTAATGTTACATTACAAAATGAACTGTGATAATTCTTTGATTTTCAAATCATTGTTCAGGTCATGGTAACTGGTCAATACAGAGTATAGCAAACAACAAACATCGGACTGGTAGTTCCAAATAAGAAACCTAGGAAAATAGGCAATTGAAAGAAAAGTCATCTTGAAATTTTGTTGAAGGCGTTAACTGCCCAAAGTCTTCTGTACTGTACAGTAGTGGCAAGGGCTTTTATCAATAAGTCAATCTGTCAGGACAAAACTTTTTCTCCAAAGTTTGAAGGACAACCAATTACCATTGACAACCTGCTATGTTGATTGAATATTAGTCTAGTTCTCATATTCATTAAGTCAGTGAAACATGCAGTGAAGTGACTGTTCGCCGACACATAATGTTATTTGAGCCTTTTGTCAAGTTTTGACAAAATATGAAAAACTTCATCTTTGACCTTGGCATTGGTCACCTTGGGTTTTCTTGTAATTAAGTGTTGAACTTTTGAGAAAAAATATAACTGTCAAGATGAAAAATTGCATCTGATGCTGGTCGCATTGAGAATGCAGAATTATAGTCAACAGTTTGATGCAAATAATGATTATATACAAAGACAAACCCAAAGACTGCTTGATAGGACAAGCACACCGGTGACCGGGGTTTCAAGGTTGGGAAAAGAAATCAAAATAACTTTGTTAATACGGTAAGCATATTCAAATTTGTTAACAACTTGTACGAAACGCGCGTATTTTTACCTTTGGTGCTGTTCTTGGCAGCTGCCTTGCCAAGGAGGTTGCAAACCGTGCCGTTAGCATGCTTGCGATGGTGTGTATTCGTGCTAGCCGGATAAAATGGCCGACAGGACTGAGTGGTGGCTTCTGGGAAGACTCTTTAGTTTCTACAAAATAACAATAAATCATTAACGAAACGAATATGATTTATTTGATTAAACTAATTTGATATTTCAAGTAGTCACACATAAAGATATCCAAAGCGCACAGTGAAATAATTTCAGCGATAGTAATTATATATACTTGTTCAGGGGAAACAACTTTTAGCCTATCATTTAATTTTCTCAAAATTTTAAGGATACCCGCAACGTTATCGTTACATCATGTAAAATGTGAAAAGGATCCGCATTTGAAAAGATTATGAATTATACGAAATTTCATGAAATGCGGCCCGGTATAGTAATTTTATAATGAACAAGATCAATGTAACAAAGTAATAAGGCAAAATTATGAAATGCAATTTCATAAACATATATAACAACGTACACATATAAATAAAAATAAGGAATGATACTTATATTTATCAAAACCTATTGCTTGATTTGATGTAAGGATGCACTTGTTTAAAAACTTAGAATAAAAGGTACCAATCGCTATTCTGTGACACATATACGAATTACCCATTGTCAAATACGTAGCAGAATGAACTGATAAAAAAATAGCGAGTCGGTACCACCATACCAGGACAACGTACAATCCTGCAAAAGATCTTGATCAATAATATTTTACATGTGAAAGATATCAAATCGAACGGATGGAGACGATGACTAGGCATTACAAGAGGGATTGGGGTGAGGGGAGGGGATACTCTAGACATCGTTTATTTGTTGATAGGTACAATATATTGTTGTTTAGACATTAAAAAATATGGCTAGGTTAAGAAAAGCATTTCACTAATGTGTATCCATTCGTTTATTGTTCCATTCGTGAATGAAAGACAGCTTGAGTTCCTGTTCATGTGGTGCAAAATATAGAAATAAAACAATACACCTTTTCTTCGAATGTCCTCTTTATAGGTATTTTAGGCATCACATCTTCTTTGTGTATAATCTGTTAGGATTTAAAAATCTTCATGTTGCCATGGTGTCGTTAGTATGTCTAATAAAAACTTCTAACGATATAAAATATACCAATTACGAATGGTAGTATGAAAGTGAGTGAGTATATGTGTTCGTTATAGTTAAAATCATTGTTTTTCGTTATTGTCCTATTTTCCACCCATAACTTCAATATATTAATGAAATGAAAATAATTGGATACCGGTAACTACAGGAAAAGACTTACATGTATACAGGCTAAGCCTGTTGTCTGGTCCCTTTGTTAATACATGTATTGTTATATTTCTTCTATAATAATTGTATTCATCTTTGTTTGTATTAACAATGAACTATTTTGAAATGAAATAGATTGAATCAAGGATTTCCAAATAACGACGTTCTTGCCAAAAAATACCCGGGTCCGCACAACATCGTTACTTGTATTGGGTACATTTAACTTTATATTGGATAGTATTGAGTAAATCGACACTTGTATTGGGTAGTATTGGGTTGTATTGGGTAAATCGACACTTGTATTAAGTAGTACTGGATAGTATTGGGTAAATCGACACTTGTATTGGGTAGTATTGGGTTGTATTGGGTAAAACGACACTTGTATTAAGTAGTACTGGATAGTATTGGGTAAATCGACACTTGTATTGGGTAGTTTTGGGTTGTATTGGGTAAATCGACACTTGTATTGGTTTGTATTGGGTAAATCGACACTTGTATTGGGTAGTTTTGGGTTGTATTGGGTAAATCGACACTTGTATTGAGTAGTATTGGATAGTATTGGATAAATCGACACTTGTATTGGGTTGTATTGGGTTGTATTGGGTAAATAGACACTTTTATTGGGGAGTATTGTGTTGTATTGGGTAAATCGACACTTGTATTGGGTAGTATTGGGTAGTATTGGGTTGTATTGGGTAGTATTGGGTTGTATTGGGTAAATAGACACTTGTAGTATTGGATAGTATTTGGTAAATCGACACTTGTATTGGGTAGTATTTGATAGTATTGGGTAAATCGACACTTGCATTGGGCAGTATTGGGTTGTATTGGGTAAATCGACACTTGTATTGAGGAGTATTGGATAGTATTGGGTAAATCGACACTTGTATGGGGTTGTATTGGGTAAATCGACACTTGTATTGAGTAGTATTGGATAGTATTGGGTAAATCGACACTTGTATTGGGTGGTATTGGGTTGTATTGGGTAAATCGACACGTGTATTGGGTAGTATTGGATAGTATTGGGTAAATCGACACTTGTATTGGGTAGCATTGGGTTGTATTGGGTAAATCGACACGTGTATTGGGTAGTATTGGGTAGTATTGGGTTGTATTGGGTTGTTTTGGGTAGTATTGAGTAGTATGTGGTAGTATTGGGTAGTATTGGGTTGTATTGGGTTGTTTTGGGTAGTATTGAGTAGTATGTGGTAGTATTGGGTAGTATTGGGTTGTATTGGGTAGTATTGGGTAGTATTGGGAGTATTGGGTAGTATTGGGTTGTATTGGGTAGGGTTGTATTGGGTAGTATTGGGTAGTATTGGGTTGTATTGGGTAGGGTTGTGTTAGGTAGTATTGGGTAGTATTGGGTTGTATTGGGTAGGGGTGTATTAGGTAGTATTGGGTAGTATTGGGTTGTATTGGGTTGTATTTGGTTGTATTGGGTAGTATTGGGTAGTATTGGGTTGTATTGGGTAGGGTTGTATTAGGTAGTATTGGGTAGTATTGGGTTGTATTGGGTTGTATTGTGTAGTATTGGGTTGTATTGGGTAGTATTGTGTAGTATTGGGTTGTATTGGGTAGTATTGGGTAGTTTTGTGTAGTATTGTGTAGTATTGGGTTGTATTGGGTAGTATTGGGTAGTATTGGGTAGTATTGGGTTGTATTGGGTAGTATTGGGTTGTAT